CTGAAAATATATTTGAAATTTAATCATTTTCCCTATATAATATTATCACCTATAATGATTAACAATGAAGAAATGCCATATGATGTATGTGTGAAACGGATTCACAAGTGCTTTGAGTTCTTCCTTAACAGTCGTGACACTAATATCAAACAGAGGATAGAAAATGATATGTTGGGTAACATCTTAGCCAAATAAGAAAGAGAGGTTTTCTGTTTTGTGACTTTAACCTGTAGAGTGTAGGGTTTATTACATTTTCAACAATGAAATACTGTAATTTATTCTCTGCAAGCTAAAGAACCACAAACAATGTCTAAAATGACTCCAAGCTTTCTCCAGTTACTTCATAAAATGAATATGGATTTGCCGAGAACTTCCCATAAACATCTCACCCTGACCAGATATGTCCATTAAAGATACCAAGTGTCAAGTAGAGGATCTGGAGTAGGGGTCAAAATGGTTAACAAGGCAGGAATGAGGTTTCTCAATAATCTAACAGTATCAGGAGGAGGGGTTGTTAATGCAGGAATAGATACCAAACGATAGTCTTCCACATGATTTTCCGCCATTTCTGTTGAAAATATAACAGATTGTCAATATCTTTGTCTAAATAAAATGCCGTAAACGGTTACAAAGTTCATACTGAAAAATAAAAATTAAAAAAAAAATATACATGTATTGCTATTTTGTAAAGGAAGTACTGCATTTTATAACAATTTAATTTTGTTTGATTGGATCAAAGAATATAAGTTTATATAGTATAACCTGTGTTGCCTGTGTCACAATGACTTACGCCAAAAACGTATCAATCCGCTTGACGTTACATTTAAATACGTACAATTTGAAGCCATTTTTGAAGGAGAAATTGTCTTATTTTCTACACTTAATGATGGAAAATTAATTATAAGGAGTAAATTTAATAGCTACCCAAGTTATACTGGTATAACCTGGGTTGGAACAGTTTACACTTTTTTTTTTACAAACCGCTTCGCGGTTTATAAAGCGTAAACGGTATTCAGCGTTACTTTCGCCTTCTAACACTTGCAAATAATTTTGCCCCGCTTTAAATTCGCCCAGACAAAATTTAGCTTAAGATATTATGCTTTTTTTTTTAATTCGCCCCGTTTTAAATTCGCCTACCAGTAACGAGGGCAAAGGGGGAGAATATAAAACGGGACGAAAATTTTCCTGTGTACGGGGTTGTTGGGTGGGGGGAGGTTTTGTGTTATCCTCTACTTTACATATTAATTGAACAAGCGTTTTACATTTTTTAATGGCTAAAAACCACAATATTTATTGGCCCTAAAATTTTGCAATATATAAGCATCTTTTAGTCATAAACTTTCTGCAATGACAGAAAAAATTTTATTAAGATTATAAAAGCCTAACCCTTTTCATAACGCGGCAATCGTGACAAGCAGGACTATCTACCTGCATGATTTATCAGATGGTGAGTAGACAAAATATTTACATCAAAAGTAATATACTTTTCATAACTATTTAACAATGTGCACGTTTATCAAAATGAAATGATTAAAACACCCTGTATACGTGTCACCTCTGTCAGGTTAAATGTAAAACGTGCTCGATAAGTTTTCGTCCACGCTCTAATTGAACATGAATAATGTTTCTACCGGCATTTATTTTTACTTTCTTTAAAGAATTGAAAATGTATTCATAGATGAAGAAAATTTATTTCAAAAGCTGAGGAAGAAAGTCTCGATTTCTGATCAAGAAGTATTAATGATGCTTAGGAACTATCAGTTGTATCTGTGTTCCTGGAAGAATATTATAACAGATACTAGTATTAAAGAAAATCTTCTCCAGCTGTCTCTTGATGCTCAAAGAATATACAAAAATAGCACGTTCAAACAACTGAAGGATCGCCTGAGCATGGAATTGTCAAAATTAATGATGGTGACGGCAGATGCCAACATAGAAAACGCAGCCATAAAGTAAAAATAGCTTTAAAGATAAACGCTATTAAATGGAATGAAATACATGTATTTTATATAATTTTCTTATTTCATTTGAAGATCAAGAATTCAGAAAATCAAAGGATGGAAAAGGAATTGACTCTTCAAAAATCGCACAATAAAGTGAAAGTCAGAAAAAAGATATGAGAGCAGAAGTTGAATAGATCTACTATCTCTTCTGGATTAGCTGAAGATACAGAGAGGCCTTCGTCGTCATCCGGTGTGAAAGAATCCCGCAAGAGGAAAGCAGGGAAGCCTGAAGTGAACCCTTTTTTAAAAGAGATATGTTTATATACTGAAAGGAAAAGAAACACAGGGTGACATAATATTCGATAATTATTTTACTACTTGACCGAAAATTATGAAAATTTGTCTGGAAAGTACTAGTATATATTTTGGTTACTTTACACCTAAATTTGTGTTAAAAATTACTCAGCCATAAAGGATATTACGTAACATAGGGAAAATGGTTAAAAAAAACAAACCCAAAAGCACCTGCAGATTGGCGATGACAAGTATGTCAAAAATTTTTGTAATACGAGTTGATACTCTGGAGGTATAAACATTGCTTTTCGCTATTTAAAGTCATGCAGTTTGATTTTTTTTTTTTTTTTGCAAAAACGGCTGACAGCTGCAGAAGTTCAATGTTGTCTGGCAATTGCATATCCTGAGAACAAACAAAGGCAACAATAGGTTGTGGTAAAATTTGTTATGGATGTCTACCATAAGACATCTTATTAGTCCCCAGAGGAAGAGTGGAAGGGATTTTAACCAACAGGGACGGGAACGTCAGCGCGTAACGAGGCCATGTCAAGACGGGACTTTCAATCCTACCACCTGCGTAATCACGACGTCACTACCACCAAAACCACTTTAAATACAGTATGCAATTACAATCTTCACTTCCTCCCCAAAACTGGAAGAAACTGATCGCGTGAGTTTGATCTGCGAGCTTGTCAACTTTAAGGAGGTCTTCGTCTCGGAACGCTCTATGCCTATTTTTTCAGCATGTTTACCCCCACCCAAAATAGCCAGAGTATATCAAGGCATTCCGGGAAAGAATCACATTAATCTACTCGACTGTGTCCGTACAATCCACCTTTGTCTCCAATTGAACATTTGTGGGACTAACTGGACTGAAGAGTAAAAAGTCATCAGAATATCCAAGCCCATCTTGACCAGCTAAGGGCTACCTTGTTGGAAGGGTTGGATAATATCCCTTTGAGAAAGATAAATGCATCGGATAAATGTATCATAAGGCTGTGACCGATGCGTAAGAGAGGCATAGGAGATAATATTAACATTTTCAATTTCACTTTTGTGGGGGTACCGTTAAATGTGTTTCAATTTCTCTTGAATTATTCGTCTAAAACAAATGAAATTTTCTTAACGTGTTGATTAGAATGGTGTGTAAATGTTAGTTAACAATATTGGAAAATACATTCAAAAATTATCATTAAATCACATCAAAAGTTTACCCTGCGTTTCTTTTTCCTTTCAGTATATAATATAATATAAATGTCACTATTATTGCACGACGAAGTGACCATACTCAATAGTCTCTAAACGTATCCTAGTTCACTCATCCGCAAATGTCCAATAATGGAATATCAGTTCAGTTCTTTATTCCGTGGGACGTACATCCCATAAGCATTACAGAACAATATTATATATTAATCAACTACTTCACATCATTAATTCAATAACATGTTATACACTTACAAACTTGTGATACTTACATTCTATTATTTAGCTAATTGTTTTAAACATTCTAATTGTAATTTAATTATTAGCATGATTTTTATATTTCCCTAACTGATTTACATTTTTGGTATTTGTACTACAAAATAGTTGTATTAGTTTAAAGACACTTGGTCTTTGGGAGTAGTAATGTTTGATAAACTAATGTCTCTTAAATATTGAAAAACTGGTTAAATGAATAAAAATGAAATTTATCTTCAATATCATTTAAATTACATAAATCACATTTTCTATTACTCCTTCTTAAGTTATCATACCTTCCAGTTTCTATCTTTATATTATGTGCTGAAAGTCTAAAACATGTAATTGCTTTTCTGTATTTTACATGAATAGGTTTTTTAAATAACCTTGCAAACAGAATTAGTCAACTAAATGCTTATATAACATGCATTTTGGTGATCTACATATATCAGATATAGCTTTCTGTTTAAAAACATCACACATGCTATTGTACGTTATGTCTAAAATAATACTATCTTTTTGATTACTATGGTACAAGTCAGCCAAACCTAGAGTGTACATTTCATTTTTTATTCTCATATTCCAGGGATCTTTATTCTCTACCATATCTTGATAACATGCACTCAATATACAATTATTACTTTTTCTTAATTTTAACCAATACTGTAATATTCTGCGCTTTCTATATATATATATATATAGGTATTCTACCTAACTCATAATAAACAGCACCATCGCAAGTATTTTTTCTTACACCAAGTATTCTTATACAAATATTAATATGCACTCTTTCGACATCTTGACCTTTATGACCCCCCCCCCCCTCCCCCATATTTCAGCTCCATAGCATAACACACTTTTAACATAAGTATCAAACACATTAATCTGAGTATCGACATTGAAATTTAAATCTTTTTTTTTTTTACTATAAATACTTAACATTGCCTTGTTATCTTGTGTTGCACAATGTTTCTGTGTAGATAAAAAAAATTACCTATATAGTAAAATAACATTCCTAAATAGTTGAATTGATTCACAACTTCCACATTGTTACCATTATATTTCCATTTTTCTTCATCTTTTACATGCTTTCCATTTCTAATAACTACAAACGTTTTTTGTACATTTACAGTTAAATTCCTTTCGTTTGTATAGCTTTAAAGAGTGTTAAACATTTCATGTAAACTTTCAACTGATTCCGCTATTAGGACTATAAAAGAAAATAGAATAATATTAAGGTTTTCTTGCATTAATTATTAATCAGATAATTGCTTGTTTAACAGTACCAGCCCACTGACTACTTATCATGGCCTGATGACAATGCTGACGTCGGGGTACAGGGTCCACTTTTTCTTCAATACAACTCTCTGTCAAGCCACGGGAAGCGAAATCCCACAGCAGAAAACACCAATTTTTGGAGGAAAAATCCAATATTTCGAAGCTTTTCCTCCCAGAAAGTTTGACAATGGTAAAATTATATTCACTCAAATGCTCTACGTCCAAGAAGGATGGAAAGATTACGATGGTAAGCCTTTACTTTCTGATTTTCTTAACAAATTTAACAGAAAAGATGTCCAGCACATTCTCTGTTTCATCTACAGGCAACGCACAAGTTTACATAATGAATTGGTAAATTATACTGCTTTCCTTCTCTTTGTCTCTCTGTCTTGAGGGTTTGTTTATTCTTTACAGAAATCTTCAACACTGACATGAAAGATATATCAGTTTATCCTGATAAACCAGTCCAAATTCTGCTGGACAGACCTACAGTCAATCTAAATGATACTAGGGGGATGCACGGGGCCTCCTGCAAATGGGATGAGGGGAGACCTAGGTAAATAATAAATCAAGTAATTCATGTAAATCAATTATCAAAATTAAAGATAAAAAAGGAACCCTTTATATTTAAATAATTTTACTTTACTTTGAAGAAAAATATGAAAATGCTATAATAAAACAGAATAAAGTATTATCTCTTCATTTGTCCATTACAAACTTTTGACGTCATCTTTACAGTAACACCATCAATTTTTCCGTTTTGAAACGCGTTGAACCTGAATTAGTGACCTCATTTGACAGCCTTAAAAAGAAACTAATTACAGGAGAGGAAATCCGAATGGTCACTAACACTTCGGGATGCAACTGCACGTACAACGATTGCAGGAATCTGACTTTTGGTGGCGATATCAAAGGCAAGATAATTGACTCAAATTGCACCACAAAAAAAGTTCAAAGGATACAAAAATCTTAGCTGCAGTAGACTTTTCATGAAAAAAGATTCAATTTGATCAAGCTTGAAAAAAAATTAATTAATTTTTAATCTTTTATTTTTGACTTTGCTAATGGTTTAACACTAACAATTGTGCTTATATGAAATACTAATCTTATATTCCGAATAAGTTTTTCAGTGAGATATATGGTTAACATATATTTCGTCACTGTAGATTTTATTTCGTCACTGTAGATTTTAAATCGTCACTGTAGATTTTCAAGATGACGGCACTTTGACGTTTTCCCTTTATAAGCCATGGTTAACAAATATTTCGTCATTTTAGGTTTTCAGGTACAAGATGACGGCACTTTGACGTTTTCCCTTTATAAGCCATGGTTAACAAATATTTCGTCACTGTAGATTTCCAGGTACAAGATGACGTGGTTAACAAATATTTCGTCATTTTAGGTTTTCAGGTACAAGATGACGGCACTTTGACGTTTTCCCTTTATAAGCCATGGTTAACAAATATTTCGTCACTGTAGATTTCCAGGTACAAGATGACGGCATCTTTGACGTTTTAACTTTATAAGCCATGGTTAACAAATATTTCGTCATTGTAGATTTTCAGGTACAAGATGACGGCACTTTGACGTTTTCCCTTTATAAGCCTATGTTTTTGGGTGTTCCTTTTGACCATCCAATGTTTTACCGGGACATCACTTTCGGTTACTTATTCCCCAACAGTACCACCAAATTTGTCTACACTTACCTGGACCCAATGAACTGGATGATTTTGAACGAAATCAACATCACATGTCCATTTGGAAAATCTAAAGGACTGGCAAATTTTTATACATTTGATTATTAAATAGTTACAGATTAAATTTTTCAAAAATTGTTTTGCAAGTATCATCTTTTACACATTTGATTCCTTTACTTTATTAATATATGTTATTTTTCAATTATGTTTTAAGGTATGTGAAAAAAGAGTCTCCCACATGACTTTAATTAACTCTCTTCAAAGTTCACACTAATGCTTAATGTAAAAAGCTTTAACCACGAAGCTAGCAGTCTTCTTGTCATTGAAACGTGTCAGTTGTTTTAAATAAAAAGTTTTTGAAGCATATAGTTTTGTTCAGAAATGTTCGATTTTCATATAGAATTGGCCCAGACTCCATATTGTGAAACTTCAAGCAGATTTTAAGTTCATTTTCCTATAATTTAAACGTTTATGAGACTTTACCCATTCATACTCAAAAATCATTTTTTTTATGGCTTCAAAAGACCCATTTACAATTAAATAAGCTAAACTGACAATCTAAAAACAAAAATTATCAATCAATAAGTGATTTAAAAAAAACGAATGAAATGTGTTGAAGAAAACCTAACTGACAGCAAAATTTTTGAAAAAATATAACTTTCCCATGAACTTTGAAAAGTTAAAAAAGGTACTGTTTAAAAAAAACATTAAGAATAACACGCTGAATAATATAACGCTATTGTTAACTTGAAAGTCTTGAAGAAAAAAACATAACTGAAAAAACGCATATATTTGAATATATATTTTATAATTAATTGAATTCAATTGAGCTTTTTCAGAATATTATTTTAAAAGACAAATTTGGTGAATTATTCATTTGATATAATATCTATACTTGAGTCAGAATTGTTAATATTGAAAATGCGTAAATTATCAGGGGCCCGTTTTACTAAAGAACTTACGACTATAACCAAAAAATTTAAGTTGTTTTTAAAATCTTACAATACCTATGTTTCTATTAGAAATTGTTTACATAAAAATATCTTTCTAAATTCTTTTCAAAAAGATTAAAACCATTTTCAAAGTAATGTAAAAAGGAAAGTATTTGCATAAAAACTTTCTGATCTTAGTCGTAAGTTCTTTTGTAAAACGGGACCCAGAATCGGTAACAACTGAGTTAAAGTTTATATATATTTCAATTACTGCGTGTGATATGGTATGTGAGAGTGAGTGATCGAGTGAAATGAAGCTTATTGCAGACCGGAGGACGGGGCTGCTCTATACATATAAGTTTAAGTGTTGGTATATGGGGATTGAGGTGGGAGAAGTTATTCAAAATTAAAGGTTTTCTAAACATTAAAAAGATTGTTAATCAGAATGTTCTTTCCCTTTATAAATTACGAGATACACAATATATTTACTTCCATAAAGTGAATCTGTAAAAATATATATGTTTTTCATATTTAATATATAAAGTTGCTTATCATTTACTATCGAAAAAACGACAGGTCCCCTTTTTTAGAACATCGAATTTTACTTATCGATAAAAACGTAAAACGTACTTTACACAGTTCGTATTTTATATTCTTAAAGTGAAAGACATTTTTGAAAATAGGTGATGCATGTGTCTGGTTTCAATTTATATTTTATGCAGCCAACATTTACTTGAGGAATTGATAAAGTTTAAAAGGGTATCGTTTATATTCGATTTTCAAAATATTCTCGACTATCGTCTCCATCATTTAGACGCATGCCTTTTTCACACATATCGAAGCGGTTTGATGATCAAGACTCATTTCCATTGTTTACTTTATTTATTTCCCGGGCGACAATTGATGGTTACATCAATGTTTTCTTGTTTGTTTTCCTGTGTTAATAAATTTGGTTGTTTATTCTGGCCCCAAGACCATAAACTGAGAACAGACTTAAGTCAAAATTTCAAATGAATATCTTTTAAAATAATTTTGATAATGAAACAAAATTTTCATCATATCTTTGAACTTGTAAATAATATAAGCCTGCAAATTTTTAAGCATATATGTTCAATAAAACTAAGGATATTCAAAATCAAAATTCTGACTAAAGTCTATTCTCAGTTTATGGTCTTGAATCCAGATTTGATATTGTTTTCCTTCTCAAGTCTACAAAATCCAAAATGAACTCATTACAATGTGTGAGTGCAAATCATGCAATGGTGTTGATGTCTCTCCTTCTACTAAAGACTTTAAATAGTTAAACTTCTGTACGTCAGTAAACGTGTTGTTGCTATGAATAGCTGAATCAAATGAATCATTCTAATATGTTTTCCTCAAAAATAGGCAAGTTGAATTTTGGAAGTTTGTGAAAGTAAGCACTGCTGTTGGAATTGGAATTAGAAGGACTGATGAGCTCGGGAATTTTCACTGAAATTATGCGATGAATGACAATTCTCTCTGATTTGTGAATTCTCATTGTAATCTGAGTAACTGTTGAGAGTTGCATTTAACTTATTTATTTGTATTTGTACTAACAGATGTTTCTTAAATTTCAGCATTTTAGAATTTAGATTAGATTTCCTCATTTTAGAATTAAGATTAAATTTCCTCATTTTAGAATTTAGATTAAATTTCTTCATTTTAGAATTTAGATTAAATTTCCGCATTTTAGAATTTAGATTAAATTTCCGCATTTCAGAATTTAGATTAAATTTGTAACCATGTGTATCGATTATTTCTTTTTCGTTATCCTCCTCTGCTGTGTCTGCTAATTTTTTCCATCGAGATTTTTAAGCACTTCTTGTTTCTCTGTCAGTGTCTCCAATATTGTTTGCATATCCTCAGTGTTTTCTTAAGACCCATATTCTTTTAGTCTTTTTAAAAGTGTAGTTAATGCACTTCTTTGTCCTGCTTGGACTGCCTTCAGTTTTGAAATCATTACTCCTCCTTTGCCACGGCACCAATATTAAGAATGTAGCTAATGCACAACACATCTATCTTGTACGCCTATAGTGATTAGATTGAATCTCAAAACTGTTGTCTATATAATTTCGAAGTAACCTTATAAGGTCACACCTTTGTTGTCATAGTTCAGTAAAGGTCTTTTTAAAAACTTGATATAACAAGGTAAAATAAGAAAGGTACTAATGTCCATATTTCACAACAGTCGTCAATATATTTGAATGTTTTGCAATGATCAAAAAATATTATTCTAGGATATCGTTCTGATTTCAAATTAAGGACATGCGCAACGTACATATAAAGGTACCTTTCAACATACAAACCTACTGATAATTTTTTGATATTCTTAATTTAAAATCTTAATACCATTAAAAGTTCAGAGACAAAAAATCAGCATATATAACCAGGGGTTCTGAAGAAATTTCAAATGATAAAAATAAATGTTTTATTTTTCGAAGAAAAACTAAGAAGAATATTGTTGTATGTAATTTTTCTCTACAGTTTGATTTAGAAGAGGTGTAAAACATCATTAGAAATACAATATATGTAATATTAGTCGCACAAAAGTCTATCAATTATTGAAATTGTTAAATAATACAGAGAATAAGTAAATGAAGCTCATAACTACGTGTGTCCTTAATAATTTCTTACACAAAATGAACTAAAAATACAGGTAGTGTATCCCTGATGTTTTGAAATGGCATTATGTTATCTTCATTTTACATGGATCTAGTTAGGTCACGGCGGCTGTGACCAGTCGACAGGGGATGCGTAATCCTCCTCTCCTAGGCCTTTAATCCCACCTCTTGTATTTCTAGGGGTCCGTTTTTTGTCCTGTTCACGATTCGCTTTTTTCTACTGTATGAGAGTAATCACTGTTCGTTATCTTAACATTTTACACATTACACAAGACCTTACCAGCAGATTAAGTTTGTATTCTTGCAATAAGAAATATTCTTTATGAAAAAAAATACTGATTTCTATATTCCTCTCTTTTAATGCATGAATCTATGCTGAACATTACTAATTTCTAATAATTTAAAAATTATAAAGTTTATTTTCAAGCATAATCTTAGGCTTTGATTCTCCTTGCAAAACCTCAGGGAAAACAAAAATACTGAAGTTATCTTGTTTGAATCTGAAAAGAAAAAAAAAACCTTTAAAACACAATTGCAATCATTTTTTTTCATAAAGTTTTATCCTTTTAGACTTGTAAGCTCTCTCTCTTTTAAAGTTACTGAGTATATCACTTTAGATAAATGATTGAAAGTAACAGCTACGAAAGTTAATAAATTTCGTAGACGATGAAATATGTTCAGTATTTTGTACATAAAAGAAACTTTTACGAATTGAATGGAAATATACTTTTTCCTTTTGGCTCGTTCAATGATAAACAGAGCTAGAATCACCAAGGAAATTGGAACAGATAAGAGAAGGAACCATAACAATTCATATTTCACTGAAAAATAATAGAAAAATATTTTCGACTTTGTCATAGAAAATTTCATCAGTTACTTATGAATCTTTGGTACGAAAAAGGGAACAAAACGTTTTACACCTACATTCCGCGCATGTTGGTCCTTCGTATCCAAAATCACAGTCACATATCACGGAATTCACTCTGTCACCACACTGGCCATGAACACATGGGGAACTTTGGCATTCATTGACATCTAGTTAAAAATAAGAGGACAATTTAGGTAGGTCCCTACTCAACAGTTTTTGTGTTACGTTTTCTTCTTTTAAAAAATTAAAAAGCCCCAAAATATTAGTAGCAAATTTTCTGACTGGAAATCTCCGGAAGAAGTATACCCAAACCTTCATCACTCGATCTCAACAAAAGTTAAAAAAGTTGGCAGCTCTGAATAGAATATTAAAGCAAAACAACCGTCAAATCTATTTATATATCAGATATAATGTTAGAAATTCAGAATATGTATCTCTTTTATTCATTAAATGATAATAATGAAAACTGGAGTGAAAATTGCACTAAATGTGAAATTCAAAATCATTTCAAAATTTTACATTCCTGGGCATTTCAATGCATTCAAACACTTCAATGTTTTCATAAAAGGTTTATCACTTTATTTTTCTCTTTAGAATATTAGATTTACATCTGTTCCACTTAAATTTTAAAATACGTATACTCTATATATATAATCTATCATTTTCACCTTGAA